GTTTTTTCTTGTTCTTCAAAAATTTTTTCATTTATTTAAAGATTTTGGTTTGAGGATTCTAATTTAAAATCTATTAATTAAGATTTTCTATTATTTTTGTTAGTTTTAGTAAAAATTAATTTCTTTTTAGTTAATATTTTATATATTTTAATAATTATATGTAAAAATATTTATCAGTTAAAATTTTAAAATTTAATTTAAAATATCTTAAAATTATATTATTTTCATAAATTTAAATTAAAAACTAAGTAATATAATTTTAGAATGTTTTTCTTTTTAATTTTTTAGATTTAATACTAATATCTAATGAGTAAAGTGTTTATTAATTGGAATTAGAAGAAAAAATATAATAAAATTATATCATTTTATTAAATTTTTACTAAAGAATACTAAAATAACCAATGTTTAAAGTAAGAATGCAATTATTTTAGTCTTTCTTCATTATATTTTGATGAAATCAAGTAATTTTGGAGTTTTTTTTTTATTAATCTTTTTGAGATTTAGTTATTAAACACAGATCTTATATCTAATTATGTAATACACTAACACATTTTTACGAATAATAAAAGTTTGGTTAAATTATTGCTCATTAATTTAAAATTTTTATTTAGATTCAAAATTAGATATTCAAAACTTATGTATCACTAAACAACTACTTTCTCTATTTTAAAATAATTATCATTTCTTTATTTTTTTTTAAAGAATTTATGGACAATTTATATGCTTGTTTATATTATTCTTAAAAAATAAAAAATAAAATTAGATTTTTTATAATAAGATAAATAATTAAAATTAATAAATTATAATATAGTTAAAGTAAAAAAATATTTATTTAATTAAAAAAATAAAAAATATAGTTAATTTATGACAATTTTAAAGTAAAAAATAATTTTTATTATTTTAAAATTAATAGCGTAACTCCTAAAGTGCATTAAAAATAATTATTTATGACAAATTCTAACTGTTTTTAGTATGTAACATAAAAACCCAAAAATCAAATCACGGCATGGAAAATGCCAAACACAACTTGGGACACCAAAGTCATAAATGCATTTATTGTTTTATCCTTTGATATGCACATTAATTTTTTTGCCGTTCTATGATGGTTATCTAAGTTTACGTTAACGACTTAATGAATAGAATCATAAAAGGCAAAGAAAAACTAGCCAGGATATCAAGAATAAAAATTACAATTTCTAGAAGACGACTAATTTTCACTTTGAACCACCAAGCATGAAGTACGCGGCTCACCATTTCTCTCTCGAAAAGTGGTTTATTTATTTTTGCTAAAGGTGTGTTGGAATTAGTTTTGACATAGTTCAAAATTAATTTATTCATGGATAATTTTAAAAATATATTTTTTATATTGATTTGATATATTTAAAAATATTAATTTTTTAAAAGTTTAATATCAAAACTTAAATTATATATTTGACTTATAAAATAATATTTATTTACTTATTTAATAATATACTCAAAATTTGAGGTTAAAATGTCAATAAAAATGCTCAATCTGATCCCCTCAAATGGTACAGAACCCTTTCCCATTAGGCCAGTTGCACATTCCCAGGTGGCAATTTCCTCTGATCCTGTGGGTCAGTGGGGATTTTTGTGCGCAAGGCAGGAACATGGGGTGTTTTCTCTTTACGAATTTATGTAAAGAATTTTTTTGTTTTTATGAAAAATTAAAAAAAAATATATTAATTATATTTTAAATTTAATTCAATTCAATACATCATAATGTACTTGCACATGGCCCTCTGGGTCAAGTGGCCTTCGAACTGCCCTTGCAGGTGCATTACCCCTGTTTCGGCAGCTTCGTAATCCAACACTGTTGAAGTCCTCAGCTGCTTCTACACCTGAAAATCCCGAGGTTGTTTCCTCGGGGAAAACACTCCAACGCTCAAGTCAGCAATACTCAATATTTTAGAGAGAGAAGCTCTCAAGGAGTAATTGCAAAGAGAGAGGCGTAGAGATTAATTACCTTCTTCGGAGGTGGTTGGGGGGTATTTATAGCCCCAAGTGCTGACATGTATCTGCACACGTAAGCTTCTCATTGGCCCACGTGGTGCTACCCACGTGGGTATGTCTCATCCTCTTGGGCCTGTGGGTGCGCAGTTGGGCCTATTGCATGTGGCCCTAAGAGGGCGTTGGGCCTAATCCCAACATTACTCCCCCCTCGGTGTTCGGTTGACGAACTGGGTTAGGAGTTTTGTTAGCACGGTGTTTGTTGTGCATGTGTATGCCGGCTTCCTATCGAGCAAGCGTGGGAGAGCTGGTGTTAAAACCAAACGAGCTCGGCGCACGTGTTTTGGGCCGCAGCTGAGGAAAAAATGTATGACACAGAGTCTTGTTATAGCCGTAGCTGAAGTGAAATAGGTGACTCGGTGTCACAATGGCCGGAGCCGAGGTATCATGACATAGAGCCAAGAAACTGAGGTGACGACCTGAAACCAGGAAGCTCAGGAGTGACGACCTGGAAGCAGGAAGCTCATTAGTGACTACCTGAAACCAGGAAGCTCAGGTGTGACGACCTGGACGCAGGAAGCTCAGGTGGGTTTCAACTCCTAATTCTTCATAAGAGTTTACCCATGTGGGGTCTTAGTTGTAATTCTTCGTGGGAGCCCACTCATGTAAGGTCTCAGCTCGTCGTTCTTCATTGGAGGTTGTCAGCTCGTCCTTCTTTGTTGGAGCTTTGTGAGTTCATCGTTCATGACCGGTCTCGCGGATGGCCGATCTGGGCAGCAAGAAACCACCTATAGAGCAGGCGAGAGCACGCTGGTGGTCCGGTAAGGCGAGCTCAGCCTGATTAGCGAGCTGAGCAAATGCGCGGACGATCTCGCCTGAGTGAGCTAGCGCATAGTGAACGAGCTGAAGAAGCTCGCCCGTAGAGGTTGATATGGGTGATCTGGTTTGTAACGATCTGACCAAGTTTGAGATCTCTGGATAGACCGTGGGCCAGCAACGGGCAGGTTTCTCCAACTGTTCAAATTTTGTTATGAGCTGGTAGAAATCTCTGCTGAGATCCTGAATTAGTTACGAGCTGGTCGAAATCTCTGAACGACGACGAGCGGGTACGAGCTGATTTCTTGACCTTTTCAAATTTTGACTTAAGACAGATCTCTGAGGAAATTTTGTTACGAGCTGGTCCTTGGGCACTTTTTAAATTTCAAACCTGCGAAATCTCTAAAGAGATTTGGTTCAGAGCGGTTAGTATTCTCAATCCTCCCCTAATAAATGCTGGCTCGTCGTTTGAAGAGACGTGACAGCTAAAGCCGGCGGACGTTACACGCCCAGCAATAAGTGCTTGCCACGTGTAACGTTTTGACTTGTTGGCAGAGAGGCGCGTACGGCAGTGCTAGGCATGGTCACGTAACCTCTCTGTTACCTCTATTTCCATTTTCCAGTTCCATATTTTCTGTATTCTTCTGCAGCAAAGGACCTTCACCGTTTTCAGGCGATCTTCTCAAGGAGTTTCAGTACCAATTTTTCAGGTAATAAAAAATGGAATTTGTTAGTGAGGTAGGAGAACTCCGGGGTAACCAGGGCATGGACGGGGAAGAGAACGTGATGGCGGTAGAACCCATTACCATGATTGTACCACCGGAACTGCAAGACGTGCCGGAAACCCCTACGGCGGAGGGCAGTGCCAGTTCAGTGGCGCATGAGGATTCCGGTGCTAACCCCTCTCCGTCATCTGAAGGGTCGTCAACAGAAAACACTGCTAGTGCAAGCAGCACCTCGCCGGAAAGTATGGAAGTGGCCGTAAACGTACCGCTGGTTGCAGGCTGGGAAAACAAAACCATAGGTGGTAGGTTAAGCAACCTCCGCAAGGCGCCGAATACATTGACGGCCGGATTTCGGTTTCGGGCAAGCCTGCATCATGAGGTAGCAGATTGCCCTACCTCCATTAAAGGGTACAAGAGGCTGGAGGAGGTAGTGAGACGATACCACGTTCCTAGGACAGTTTTGTTACGAACAGGGACCACAAATGAAAGGGCCTGCAGCGTGTCAGCAACAGGGTGGATACCTGTATATGTGGACCATTTCGATGCCGGCCTGAGGTTTCCTTTATCCGGGCTGATTTTCGACATTCTGTCAGAGTACGAACTGGCGCTCACACAGTTTACTCCCAACAGTATAAAATTCATCGTAGGGTTTATGTTGCTGTGTGCACGGCTGCAGATACCTGCGAAGGCCATTGTTTTCAGGTCGCTATTTTTGTGCCGGCTGAGCAGTGCACAGACGAGGTGGTACTACATCTCTGGACGAGAGAAAATGGCCATCTTCAAGAACATAAGGAATAAGGTGTCTCGTTGGAAGAGACAGTTTATATTTGTCCGGGATACGCGAGCAGAGAGGGTTAGCACCGATCTGGCAGCTCGTCTATCTGAGTGGCGCCCAGGGCATGCGTACATGAATTACCCCACCTTAACCCCAGGCGACCTGGAGCTTAGGGATAGGATCACTAATTATGTGAAGGGAGGGGGGTTAGTTGATTTGGAAGCCCTGGTTACCCCTGAGGTGCTCACTTTGCGTGGGTTTGTGGATATCCCGAACCTGTTTAGTGAAGGTATATCTCTATTGTCCATTACTTTTTTCACGAGCTGAGTCTTATTGCACGTGTTTGTGCAGGAGAGATGAGTAGCATGCTTGAGAGACAACGGGAGCGAGCTCAGCGCTCTCGTGGCAGGGGAACTGGGTCTGGCGCGAGGAGGCAAACGCGCTTTGACGAGCTACCGCCTGCAGCACCTCGCAGCTCGGCGCAGA